CTATGATTCTTATGTGTGGATATACATGCCGAAGGACCATGCTCCAGGGTCCTTTAAAGCATGCAAGGACTTGTGTAGTTACCAACAAAAGTTTAAGGCCATCAAAGGGTAGCTCCTCCACTATGTTCCATACTGTATTCTCAGAAACTCCTAGAGTTGGAGCCATGAAGTTCTGCTACCATCAGTATGGAAATGTCCCTGGCAGCTGTCTCTGCAGCATCTCAGGGTGCTTAAGGAGCAGTTCTGGCCAGAGATGATGGACTGGAGTTGCTCCCTATATTCTTGCGCAAGGTGTTCAATAAAAGCTGTGAATCTGTTACAATTTATGAAATTATATTTGGATATGATGACCACTTGAGCATTCTTTATCTTAATTGCAGGGTTGCTGATGAATCAGACTTTCATCAAAGTCTTCTGTGGTCTTTTTCATACAGAATAGACAAAGATGTATTCACAGGCAGGCTAGTGGCAGGTGTCTTCCACACTCTCTTTGCGGGATCATTGACCAAGGTAAGATATCCAGCTGTTCGTATTGTGACTTGACCCCTTCCAGTGGAATTTTGGAAGCCATCTCTGATGCTTCCAAAGTCTTCCCTTTTTTAGGGGACACTTGCACCAAGGTTGAAGGGGTGATGACTCAGTCTGGAGACAGATATCTGCTGGGGGGAGAGTGTTAGGAAGAGAATCTTGTTTGATTCAGAAGCTGGTTCAAGGGAATGTTCCATCATTAACTGTCTGAATTTAATTCCCTGTTCTACCTGGCTCTGACATCCAGGGCAAGGAAGAATTTGCACTTCTGAAACATATAGGACTCCTCCAAGTAACAATCACACTGAAAGTAGCCACAGATACAGCATCTCAGCAAGAGAGACAGCTTTTGACACTTTGAGAACCAGGTATGCCTGGAAAACAAGTCCCCCAGAGGGGAGGGAGAGAAAATAATCTTCTCACTATTTATCTATCACTACAAAAGCTGAGGTGTGCTCGAGGTAGATGCTATGGCTCTGTCTCAGGTCAAGGCAATCAAGAAGGAGCTCAAGGTGGTTTGCCTGTGCACACATATATAGACTCAGTGTCCAGCACAAGGAAGCCTCGGGCACACGTGTGGGCCAAACAGACACCAATTAAAATCTTCACTCAAGGCCTCAAGATGCATATTCACACTTGACATGGAACACCCATAGGGACACCACTCTAAGATTGAGCTTTTCCAGTGCCATGAAACATCCTGTTAGCTACACAGTATCGTTATCAGCAGCTTCAGAGTCTCAGGCAATACTTTTAGGCTGAAATTAAGCATGTGGAAGAGATAGGGAGTGGCTAGGAATTCTAAATTGCAATCCAAAGAACAAAGCAGCCCTGTTGGGCACAGAGAGGAGTTAGTCTACAATGAACTTGCCCTGCGAAAAGCAAGTGATTTTTTTTCCTGCATCATAAGTTACTGAGGTTTCATTTTATGCCATAACAAATTCAACAAGAGCACTTCCTTAAGTATGCAATTTAATGGCCCTCTTAGATCATTAAATCTCCATGGAAAATTAATGAAATAAACCATCCAGCTTCATTTTTGCAATTACTAGTTGTGACCTTATATAATTAAGTCTTCCACAAAAGTCTTGATTCATAACCTATGAATATATTTGTATCAATTTTAACTGGACAGAACTGCAAAGGTAACTAGAAAGGAAGGAGTGTGATAAACTAAAAGGTAATTTAAAAAATTGGGAGATGATTTACTGTCCACGATTACAAAGGGCAGGATTTGCATGAAGGCAAGCTTATAGTTTCATTCAAGGGGCCTCACCTAGTTTTACATCTCTGTATTGTTTTTGTGTCACTAAACCAGAGGCTAAATGAAACTAAGGCTGGATCTTAGCTGCTGCTGGAGCAGAAAGGTGCTATCAGCATATGGATACAGAAACAAAGGAACCCTGAAATGTTCCTTCTGGATTTACTATGTGGCAAACATAAGCACAGTTAGATGCAGTGGATATAATTGTAAAAGGAAACTGGGGTGATCTACAAACAATACACAGTTGTGAATTTAAGATTTTTTTCCTTTTATGTTTATATAATTTGGGAGGAGCTTTGGTTGTTTAAGATTTGTAATAATTGGGAAAAAAAACATTTGAGGACAAGACTGGTATCCATGAGAAAGAGGTTAGTACCCAGTCAAGATTATGTTAGTTTATGTACAAGTTTGGTTCTTGGGTTTTATCTCTTTTGTGAACAAGTGATTGCAGTTCTAGGAATTACTCTGGCTTTAAACTAGTGTAATGGAGATTAGAATCTGGTCCAGTTGCCTCTTTGGGTCAGATGTGGTAATCAGTTTCTAAATAAAACTAATTTCAGCGGGAGTGTGTCATCAGTGGTGGGGATATGGCCATGTACCTTCATAGAATGATAAGACAGGTAAAGTCTACACCATGGAGTCTGTCAACACGAATCCACCAATCAACCTCATTTCCTTTTCAAAACATGAGCTAATCCTTCCTTGGCCTTTTCACTTCATATAGCAAGAATCCCAGGTTGTGCTGCTGATTGGCCAGGGATGCTGGAACAATTTGTATTGTGGGGGTCAGAGCCTGGGAACCAAACTGTAAACTCCTGTATACAATGGAAACTACTTCAAATCAGGGGGTGCAGCTGCACCCCGAGCACCAATGTAAGTGCTTTTCCAATTTTGTTGAGAAGTATTTGATCTCACTAACTCTATACCATCTTTTTTTTGTGGATTTTCTATAGCAGGGATCAATTTATTTAACTGATCAATAAGCTTGTGGATGATGATTTTGTAATCCAAGCTATTTATCTTTTGAGTAATTGCTATGCCTATACTTGTTCCAAAAGAATAATACATTGAAATTATTTGTATAGGCCTCATCCTGTGGAACATTGTGTTACAATACTACCACTATTAGATCACTCTCTCTTCTCACAGGCCACATTTTCTGTCTACGGCATGGAGCACAGTCCCATTTTGCCTTAACTTTGCACCAGAATCCAAGCAGACTACCTCTACAGTCTGGAAAAACACTGCAATGAAGGAACACAGAAACCGGGCCACCATATTTCCATGTCTTTGTGCACCACCAAATATGATTCAATGACTTACAAATAAAAATGAGCTGGATTGTACCATGTCCTTAGGCAAAATCAAGGGGAAAGAACACCATGAGCAATAAACAACCCTGTGCAGAATAAATTTTTATGTGCACCAAGTCATGTGTGAATGTGTATCACCAGTAGAAACAAAAACCTACCTGTGGGAGCTCTGCTAATCACTTGGCATTTGAAGCTCTCCTTAGAGTCTGTGCAAGCACAGTTTACAGGGAACACTGACCATGAGGTGCCCCTTTCTAGAATTTCTTGAAAACTGCCATTTAGAGGATGGGACTCCCACTCAATTATCCAAACCTCCCTGGTCCCTTGCAATTTGCTGGAGGCTCTGGGCTACCTCTGACTTTTCTCCAGCTCACCTTGCCAGAGCTTCCTTGTCCTAAAGAGACTGAGGAGGAGGAGCGTATGGGAACTTTTTTGCAAATTCCCTGCTAATTAGCTGGAGGGAGGGAGTAGTGGGACAATGCACAGATACAGGAATACAGAGCTAGTGCCATGGAAACAATTTAACACACCTCCCATGTTGAGATGGATCTGGCCCTATAAAATTGTAAATCACTTTGGGAGGGAATCCTGGATCCGGTGAAATCCTGGATCCATTGAAGTCAAAGTGTTTTAAACAGCATTTAAACAAAACCAAACTTGGATTCAGTAGGCCCAAGTTCAATTTCTAGCATGGCCACAGATTTTCTGTATGACCTAGGGAAAAACACACACCATTAGATTTTAAGAGGTATTTAAGCACTTAACTTATTCAGTTGTACCATGTGCTCCTAACATTGTATCATTTTATATAGAAAATTATGTAAATAATAAGCAATGTTAACAATAGATGCATCTTTTATTCACAGATAAAAGCTGAAGCAAGCCATTATATACACACATTTGTACAAAGGATTTGAAAAACCCATAAAAAGCAAGATGATCAGAAAATATGATTCATTATGAAATGTGATATTACATACACTATTAAACCGTTTCAAAAGTATTTGTTTGGCAACAAATTTATCAATAGTTTCCACACTTAGGTGGTCTCCTTCAAAAAAGCACAAATCTCATGCAGCATGTATAAACTTGATCCTGAGGGTTTGCCTTCCTTAGAAAAACTGTAAAAAGATATACTATTTGTCTTCAAAGTTCATAATGCAAAAACCTTTATTTATAGTCAAAACTATAGAAAAATATGGACCTAACTTAAAATTTACAAAAACTTTCTTCTTTTTGCTTGTTTGTTTCATGGTTTCAGTAATAAACATAGTTCTCAGTTCCTGTAGCTAGAGAAAAAAACAAAACAACAATGCCCTTTCTAGACTTCCTTGAGTTAGATTAACAACTCTAAAAAGATCAGATCCATGAAAACAGAGTTTAGTTACCAAGGAAGTAGTTAAGCAGTTAATATTTATATATTTATATATATGTATAAAAGGGAACACAAATTTTTATTTTGATCTGAAAAAGGAATAATACAAAAACAGAATGTAAAACAATCATCTTGAAATTCCATAATACACTTTTTCAATAGATAAATGTTCATAAAAATATCTTGAATCCTAACCAAGAAAACAATTATAATACAAGTTTAGTTCTGCTACATAAAACAGCTTTTCTATTAAACAAGAAGGCAAGTTCAGGTATGAAAACATAATTTACTTATTGCTTGTGCTACAATGTTGGTTGGTTTTTTTTGTTGTTTTTTTTTTACACTGAATCATAAATACACTATACAGTATAAAATATTTTATAGGAATACATTTTGTGGTCTGCTTAGGTTTGCTGGCTTTAATTCTAGCACCAAATCCAAAAATGAAAATCAAATTAATTTTAAAGGCACTTTCATTGTTTTCATTGTTTGTTAAAGTCTTGGTTTGTACTAGATTTTTCTGCTCTTCTCTGTTAGAAACAAAGTTTATTTCTATTTGTATCTTTTTACAGTTCAGGTCAGGTAGAGGCACCATAATGATTTAAACATTCCAATTCCTCATCTGTATCAGTCTCTACAACATTCATTGTTGTTTTAATTCTTCACATTCCCACTTGCACTTTCTAATCCTTTTTCTTCTTCACGTTGGACAGTTTGGCTCCACTTCCTAAAGTCCCTTGAAAATCTATCTTCAAACTTCCACTTCTCGTACTCCATCTTGCACATCAGGTATCACTCCGATATCAAAACACGTCACTATCATGACATGTGACTTGCACAGATTAACACACTGCTCTAGTTCCTCTGTCACTTGTTCAAGTGCCTCCAGATACTCCTGAGACTCCTTATCAAGGTGAGGGTCAACCTCAACTGTTAGAAAAACCCAACATGTTTATATGAGAAACTGTCCACAACAAAAATATATATATATTTGAGGTGGAGAATTTAACTTCTTTAGTCATCGGTAACTGGTATTATCACATGAGGAAAAAAGTCTTATGGTAAAATCCTGTTCCCATTCAGCTCAAGTGAGTTTTGTCATTAACTTCACTGGAACCAGAATTTCACCCCAAGGCTCCAGTTTAGCAAAGTATGCAAATGTATATTTAAGTGTTTTGTTGGCATAAGGCTCTGATCGCTCCCAAAAATACTTATTCCATTCTACAGAATACCTCTAGGATTATAAAGCCCTATATATTTATTTATTATTAAATTATTATTATTATTATTATTATTATTATTATTTCAGTATTTGTATTGTTTTGCTTTTTTCCCCTCAGATTAGACTGATTGGTAGTTTCTTAATTCTACTTATAATACCTCAGTATTAAAAAGCAATCCCATACCATAGCAAGATTCACTTCTTTGCAAAGTTTTTAAGGCCCCCTGTGATGGGGCGGACAAAGCCCAACCTCCCCGCTAGAGGCCTTTCAGCACCCTGGCCAGCAGCAGAAGCAGTAGAGAGATCCTCTGAGCAGGGTAGAGGGGCAGCCTTCACTGCAGCCAATCAGGATGCGGCAGGCTGTTATATAAGGAGCTGCTAGCTAAGGCCTGTCAGTTCCTTCCTGGAGCTCAACCCAGTCAGACCTCTGAGCTGACTGGGGAACACCAGAACCTTGGACAGTTCCAAGTGGGAACTGGGCTCTCTTAACTGAGCGGAGCTAGTTCCTGTGGCTATAGGCTAGCCTACAACAACTCCGCGGAAACCTGGACAAGGGAATTCAGCAACAAGGCCCTAGAGAAGGGCTAGATGAAATGGCATCCCGGGGAAGTGGCCCAGGGACGTGACCTCAATTACGGACTTTGAAACTTAGCAGGTAACTGCTATGTATAGGGTCCCTGGGCTGGGACCCAGAGGAGTGGGTGGGCCTGGGTGTCCCCCCCAACCCCACTGCAAACCACGCCCGGGGGGGGTAAAAGAGGTGGCCTGAACCTTGGCCATGGACTGGACATTGATTCACCCGCAGACAGGCGAGTTAAATATTGCAAGACCCGCTTCAGTTTAACTTCTGTGTCACCTACCGGTCTTGTGAGAATCTACACTCCTTTTTGCAGCCTGCCCTGACTTTGGCATTTCCAATGAGGACTTCTTAGGGTACGTCTAGACTACATGCCTCTGTCGCCAGAGGCATGTAGATTAGGCTACCAGACATAATAAAAATAAAGCGGCGATTTAAATAATCGCCGCTTCATTTAAATTTACATGGCTGCCATGTTGAGCCGACAAACAGCTGATCAGCTGTTTGTCGGCTCAGTGCAATAGTCTGGACGAGCGGGTGTCGACATCAAAGGTATTTGTCTACCACCCAGGACCGCACCTGTAACACCCCCAATTCAGCTAGCAATTTAAGCATATGCTTAAAGTTAAATTAGTCCTAACGAAGTCAATGGGACTACTTGTTAACTTAAAGTTAAGCATGTGCATAAGTTCTTTGCTAAATTTGCACATCACATTGATTTTGGTGAAATACTTACACTCTTCTTTCCATTTATTTGGATCCATCATCAATCTACACTTTGTTTCTTCCAACTCTTCCTTCAGACATTCATGCTTGGCCTTCACTTCTCTAATCCGCTGATGGCGCCTTTCTAAAATCTTCAGCTTGGTATTGAAATACATCAGACCCTTTAAAGACCAAAAAAAAAAAAATTCCTACATGACTCGGCCTGGCCTTGCCTCTGTCAGCACCACCCAAGCCCAACCCACCTCATTACAATGTAATATTTAACAGAGCTTTCTCTCTTCACTGGAAGTGTGTATTAATGGATTCTAATCTACAGAAACAGCATGCTGCAATCAGTTAATTCATAGAAGTGAAATTAATGCTTAACATACATTTCTAATATACACAGAAAGTACCACTTTTTTTAGAGAAATTATTTTCTCCATTATTCCAGATAATAAAAATGGTCTAATAATATTAAATGAAACTCTGAATCTTTAACAACATTAGGACTTAGGAATTTGTAGTTACATAAAAGCATTCCTACCTTTTCAACATCCTGGAAAGGCTATTTTGAAAAAAATGGAAAAAAGGCATCAGAAGAATATAAGACTCTGGTCTCCAAAATAGAACTGAATTGTTTTCCAATTACAAGTAAATTAAATTCACAATATCCCTGATTTTATGTAATTCTAACCAGAATACTTTATTTAACTTTTTCATAGAATCCCAGAGCTAGAAGAGACCTCAGGAGGTCAGAGAGTCCGGCCCCCTGCCCAAAGGAGGACCAAACTTAACTAAATCACCCCAAAAGCTTCAGAGGTGTAGCCAAGTTAGTCTGTAACTGCAAAAACTAAAAAAATACAATGAATAGTCTAGCAGCACCTTAAAAGGCTAACAAAACATGTAGATGGTATCATGAGTTTTTGCGGGTACAACCCACATCTTCAGATAACGGGAGTATTTACAAGTCCAGATAAAGAATAAATAAGGGAAGGCAGAGGGGGGAAGAATTTTTTTTTAAATAGTAACTTGAACAATCCAATTCACAAAAGGCTGGTAAGAATAATTTGCACCTCTATAAGTACCTATTGGTTGGTTGGTTGAGTCATTAGGATGTGGAAGGTAGTGTGCCAGCCAGCCAATATCTTTATTCATTCCTCCCTGATAGGAATCAAACTTATAAATTAAATTAAGTTCCAACCCTTTGCTGTGTATTTGGCTTGCGGAATTGGCCTGAAACAACACTGTGACTCTGAGATCCAATAATGAATGCGTGGGCAGATTAAAGCATTCTCCAACAGGTTTCTGTGTGTTGTCTTTTTGCATATCTGATTTGAGTCCATTAATTCTCTCCCACAGAGACTATCCAGATTGGCCCATATACATGGCAGTGGGGCATTGCTGACATTTGATGGCATAGATCACATTAGTGGGTGTGCAGTTAAATCATCCGAGGCTGGACTTTGTCAAACCGGGACTTAAAAACCTCTAGGAATGGAGATTCCACCACCTCCCTAGGTAATCCATTCCAGTAATTCACCACCCTCCTAGTGAAATAGTTTTTCCTAATATCCAACCTAGACCTCCCCCACTGTAACTTGAGACCATTGTTCCTTGTTCTGCCATCCGTCACTACTGTGAACAGCCTCTCTCCATCCTCTTTGGAATCTCCCTTCAGGAAGTTGAAGGCTGCTATGAAATCCCCCCTCACTCTTCCCTTCTGCAGACTAAATAAGCCTAAATCCCTCAGCCACTCCTCATAGGTCATGTGCTCCAGCTCCCTAATCATTTTGGTTGCCCTCCATTGGACCCTCTCCAATGCGTCCTCATCCTTTCTATACTGGGGGCTCAGAACTGGATGCAATACTCCAGATGTGGCTTCCCCAGTGCCAAATAGAGGGGAATAATCACTTCTCTAGATCTGCTGGAAATTCTCCTCCTAATGCACCCTAATACATCTTTAGCCTTCTTGGCTACAAGGGCACATTGTTGATTCCTATCCAGCTTCTCATCCACTGTAATCCCCAGGTTCTTTTCTGCTGAACTGCTACTTAGCCATTCAGTCCCCAGCCTGTAGCAGTGCTTGGGATTCTTCTGTCCCAAGTGCAGGATTCTACACTTGTCCTTGTTGAAGGTCATCAGATTTCTTTTGGCCCAATCGTCCAATTTGTCTGTCACTCTGGATCCTATCCCTGCCCTCTAATGTATCTACCTCTCCTCCAGCTTAGTGTCATCTATAAACTTGAAGAGTACATAAAGAGTTAATGACCCTGTAGTGGAGAGAGGCTGTAAAGTTTCATCAGGCAGGCTAGGATTATAAAAATCTTCTCATAATATATTCATTGGTATTCTTCATTCATGCCATCAGTTATGTTGAACACAATTAATTGTAGACAGTAATTATTTTCATTTTCTACATTAAGGGCACCCCAACATATGAATTGTAAAATTAATAATTATAGTGCTTTAATTGCAATCAATTTTCTGAATGCCATACTAGCATTCAAGCAGGGATTCTGCCTGTATATTGTAATTTAAGTTGTCTGGAGTTGTTGTAAAATATGTACTGACCTCAGTTTCCTCTTGTCTGTGTCGCTGTAATCGTTCCACATCATCAATCTCATAAACTTTAATTTCAAATGGCTCTTTAAGAGTGCCTGGCAAAGGTGGTAGATCAACCCACTGGCCAGTGACACTGGGCTTTCTTCCTAGGGATGAAGCATCAGGCAATGGGGCAGGAATCAGCCTACGACGCTGAAGACCTTATATTAAAAACAAAAAAGTGTTTTGCATCACCTGGAGCATTATGCATCCAAAACCTAGGAGTACTAGTGTATTGCAATATATGGCAACAAAGAAAATGTAGAAGTTTTTGGGATACTTTAGGGGAAATGCTTTTTTTATCTTCAGTTAGGCCGGATTCTTGAAGGCATTAGGTGCCTAACTTCAATTTGAAATCAATGGGAGTTAGGCATCTAAATAGTTTTAAGGATCTGAACCTTACTGTTTTGATAGGCTTTGGTGTGATCTTTGTTGTGTCTGTCTTTTGTTTGTTTGCCATCTAAACAACAGCTCCTTATACCAGGCTTCCCACATTTTGTTTGCCCACTTCCATCAGCAAGTACATTTCTTTTTGGGGAGCAAGTATGATCTCGTTCATTTCTTCACTCAGCAAAAATAGTCAAGAAGATTACGTGATGAGGTTGGCAATGTTTGAGGATTCTGACAGGTAATTTGTTCTATGCGCAGGTTAAATCCATGCAAGACTTGTCCACTGAGGTTCTCCACTTCACTGTATAAAACCATTCTTTCACTCCATCCCATTGCGTAACCCAACCCCCCTTTTTCTTCTATCATAAAGCCAGTTTGCCAACTTGACTAGAATATGACCTCATCTGTGCTCAACCTCCAAGCTGCAAGGTGCTGTGGAATTATTTCAGTGGGAGTTGAAGGCATCTGTCACTTAAGGCAGCCTCTAGCTATGCTACAACCTTAATTCTCCCCCTTCACATTCACACACAATTTCCACAATACAATAGAGCTGCAAAGGCCAGGCAACCAGGAAATTCACTTGCTGCTCCCAGATTTAAGAACACTGATGCCAAGATGCACCAGTGCAAAAGTTTCAAGACAGACTGTCTTGCCCCCATAAAAATGGGCATGCACGCATGTACAGGTATTTGCCCACATGAAGCTGAGTGTATGGGTGCATACTTTTTTTAAAAAGTGTCTCAAGTCACCCTTAACTTTTTGAAAGACTAATTCTTAGGGATGCATCTGTCATTAACCAACAAGTGTACGGGGCAAGTTCAGGCAAAACTGAAGCCAGTGGCACTGATCTCCAAACCCCTGACACCGAAACAATGCAAGATTGTTATAGCTTGTGTTCTTTGTCACTTTCTGATGGGGAGAACGAGCAGCTTCATGCTTGATGACAGAGAGCTCAGAGGAAGAAATGTACATTACCTCTAGTGACTCCCTGTTCATGGCGATAAAGAGGAACACTGGACTCCTTGAAAGGAACTGCTTTCAAAACTTGCCCATCAAAGGACAGAATTTTTGAGGGAGACATGGCATAAAAATTATCCTCGGTGTCTCGAGTCTGATGTTTGGCATCTTATAATTATTGCCTCTGGTTTTGTGGATTAAAAGAGTATGACTAAGGCCATATTTAAACCTGGGTCTCCCAACAGGAGTCAAATCAATTACCATGAGATCAGGTCAGTTATTTTATAAACTTTAAAAAGGGTCAATGAAAGGTAAAAGTTCACCAGGCCTCACTGGAAGGGAAATATTTTGCTGTGTGCAAGAAAGGAGTTACCGGGTATAAATATGTTAATAAACGAATTCCTGCAAATGTGGAAACTTCAGGTGGCTGGGCCACATTAATCTATTCTGGATGTGTAATCAACTGTGCATCCTCTCCACAATCTCAAGTTATTCAGTCTGACTATGTCATACTTACAGGCCTAATCTTCCCTGTCAATTAAAATTCCAAATTTACAACTGCCTTCTGGCAGATAGAACCCACTGAAGTCAATAAACAGATGTAGCTGATCATATACACAGAGCAGATGAACTTCATGGTACTCAGTAGTCTCAATGTAAAGTCATTGAGGCCTCCTGTGTCCACATGGAACTGCTTATATACACATGGAGGAGTGCCCAAAGTTAATAACTAGGTTTCTATTGGCTTTGATGGGAACAGGGTCTCTCTAAGCACTGCTTTTCTAAAAAGCTCAAATCCAACAGAAGCAAATCTCAAATCCACATTCAACAAAAAAAGGTATCATTTACAAATCAAAGACAAATTCAGTTGAAAAAGAAATAATCTCTCATATCTAAAGACCTTAAAAGCACTTCCTGGGGCCGAAAGGAACACAAACCCATCAGTGAGTAATGCCTGCTCAATATGTGTGCAACTTTACACCACTGTCAATATTGATTTGTAGGAGAGGCTTAGGAGGTTGACGTGCTATGAAATGAGAACTGCTGCAAATTTTGCACAAGGTCTCTGAACTGATTTAACATCTATCAAAGATACTTAGGTTGCATTGACCAGAAAGCAAGGTACATGAGTTTAACTCATTCTGTTGTGCTGGCACAAGTGAATGTCATGTGCACATACAGAGACTGCAGTAATTACACCTTTCCAATTGACATGTTAGATCCAGCAAGCCCATGCTCAGGAGAGTAGCTCTTACCCTTCTACTGCACAGTCGGGCTAGAAGTTAACAGCTGCAGGAGCAGCCTTTCAGTCAGTAGCTATCATTGCAGGAACTGCAGCAAATCCCCAATATCAACCAATATCCCCAATATCAATTTCTGGCTGGAATAGTAAAAAACTATTTCCAATACCTGGACATCAAAAGCCTGATTCTGAAGCCGTTACTCTCATTCAATAGCATTTACCCACACAAGCAGCATCAGTGAAGCCAACATGTAAATACCACTGAAGGTCAGTAATTTGACCCTTGTTAAATGGCCTATCACTTTGACTTTGTGATGGATTTAGAAGATTTAGGACAAAAATTAAGTGAATGGAAATCACACCTCTGAACAAAAACAGTTGCACTACTTATTCTTCTATCTCTTTCATAATTTATCTTTAAAACTTGGTTGAAAAACTACAAAAGCATGTTTTGTAATGAATTAACAGCATTCATCTACAATTCAGTGCCTCTTTTATCATATATCATTCTAAAAGATGCAATAAATCGTAGATGCTATAGTCCGGCAACATCCGTGGTCTGGAATGATTTTAGTTAGCCAAATGTCCACTTAACATGGGTGTGACCAAGCTTCCCACGGCCCCATAATGTTTGTTTACAGCCACCAGTCCTAGCTCTCAATGTCCTCTGCAGTGATGTAGCTCAAGAGCCCAATAAGCAGTGGAAGTGTTAGTAATGTATTGACCTCGTGTGATTCAATAAATTCTCTGGTTTGGCACAGGTCAGGTTCCAAAGGTGCTGGACTAGAGAGGTTCATCCTGTGTGCGTGCGTGCGCGCGCACACACACACACACACACACACACACACACACACACACACACCCTACCTAAAATTCAAACTAAAGTGACCTACCAGTTGAGTTAAGAACCACAATTAAAACTCACTATAATATGATGAAAATATCAATGAATTTCTAAGACACTGAAAAGGCAAACCCAAGTCATAAATTTTTTTACCTGTTGATCTTTTCTTAGGGGACTTCAAACTCCTCATACGCCCAGGTGATGACATTCCGCTTTCGCTCATTGAGTCATGTGCAGAAGAGGCACTGCCTGTCGCTTCACTATCACGAATCATGCTTTCATAGCCACTGCTGCCACCACTGTGGTAAAAAAGAGCCGTCCTTCCCATTGCTGGTGGCAGCTCTCCACTTAAAACACTGCTATTATCACTGCCGTGCCCACTGCTGTATCGCTGAGGCCTCCGGGGCGCCGTTATTTTGCTGTATGGAGATGGCAACACTGGAATCTGTGACTTTTCATCGCTGAGATTAATACCACTGTCATTTCCACTATCAGAGTCTGTGGAGCCTCTGAAATGCCCCATTTTGACAGAATTGCCTGATACCAGTTCGTTAACCCGACTGTTGGCTGCCCTAATTGCTTGCTTTGTCCCCATAATAGTTCCTCTGCCAGGTTTGTTGTTAACACCCTGCACAGATCGGGGCGCTGTTTTCCCACTTGGAGGAATGCTAGAACTTTTTCCAATAGATTGAGTCAGTGACTTTACAGAGGAGCTAAGAGACTTTGACCCATTGGTAGAAAGGCTGCGGTTTTTGTTACCATTTGCTGCAACTTTCTGGTTAGTTGTACTTTTTGCCTGGTTGCTTTTACAGGGTAAAGGTGCAGTATATGATGGTGGTGAAGTCACAGTAGACGCTACAGGGGGAACTCCCAGCCGTGGGACCGATCGTCCCGTTCTACCATTGTTAATGCTAACATTGCTGTTTTCCCTCGTTGTGTTTGTTTTGGATCCAACTGATGTCAGACTATCACACCTTTCCAGAGACATGTGACTCCCATATCTATGAACAGCTTCACTTTTAGATGCCTTTGTCTTTAAACTTGAAGTCATTTTAGGCAAAGAATGGTCCCCCTTGAGACTTGTTTTACTGCTGGTACATTCACTAACCCAAGATCCAACTTTTGATCGTAGTTCTGCCTCTTCCTCAGCTTTTGGTGCTGCAACTCTAGCACAGTCCAGGCCTGCAGCTTTGCCTCCATTATGTGTCACCACAACATTTTTCTGTTCGAGGCTTGATTTCCGTACAGGCGGCGTTGGAGGTATGGTCCCATTAGGCCTAGGTAGCATGCTTGACTTCTGTGGTACACTCTTCTTTCCCAGGGATGTTTTCAAGCTGCCAACAGCAAAGGCAGCTTCAGAACTTCCCCTGGTCAAACCGTCGGATGGAGCACTATTACTATGTGCTACTGGCATCACACCCAGCGTAGTGGCTCCTCTCTTAAGCTGTGGCATTTTTGTTGCTGTTTCAGATTAGGCCTAGGTAGCATGCTTGACTTCTGTGGTACACTCTTCTTTCCCAGGGATGTTTTCAAGCTGCCAACAGCAAAGGCAGCTTCAGAACTTCCCCTGGTCAAACCGTCGGATGGAGCACTATTACTATGTGCTACTGGCATCACACCCAGCGTAGTGGCTCCTCTCTTAAGCTGTGGCATTTTTGTTGCTGTTTCAGATGCTACTGGCATCACACCCAGCGTAGTGGCTCCTCTCTTAAGCTGTGGCTTTTTTGCTGCTGCTTCAGATTTCTTAGTGGCTCCTGTGGAAGATTTGCAAGCCATTTCACAACCATCTACAACTCTTTGAGAGCACGCAAGCATAGTCTGTGACTTAGTTGGCTTGATTGCACTGCTGAAGTATTGGGCAGCTTTTGTTGGCTGCTTATCAGTACAAAATGGTTGAGATTTCTGAGACAGCAGAGATTCTGCAGCTTTTGCTTCCAAGTGATTATCCATGCGCACTAGCCAGGGATCTTCAAATATACTGTGTGGATTCCACTGTTCCCTGCCTACAGTGGCATTATTGTGGGTTGGAGATGAGGTAGTTTTTGTTTTCCTAGGAAGACTAGAATGTATTGTTTCTATCACTGGTGTACCTCGAGAGTTGCTAGATTTAACTTTCATGGGCTGATCAGCTACACAAAAAGCACTTTTCATCTGAGATGCTTTGGTTAATTCAGAAGTGGTGTGGGGGCTTTTGTTGATGCCTGAAGACATTTTGCTAGAATTTATACTTTCAGTTTCCAGCTCCGAGAAACAAAATCCACTGTCATTCAGGGAGCTTTTCAATGGGATGGTCACATTGGGCAAATCCAAATTAAAAGGTTCTTCGGACTTATTACAGCTGTAAGAAGACTGGGCGACAAAACTGTCACGGGACTGGGCTCCATCACTTTCAATTGTACAAATGCTAACTTCACTAAGCCAAGAACTGATGGAGGAACGTCTGCTGCTGGAGAATGGATCCTCGGCAAAGGGCAAAACAATATCAATATTTACACCAGTAGAGCTTGCCTGTGAGGTATAAGCATCAAACTCATCATTTATACTGCTAATAATACTAACAGGCCTGGAACCTGATGCAAGAGCCTGAAGGGAGCAGTCGCTGTTAAAGCTAATAATACTAGAAGGCCTTCCATTATCTAAAATTCCACTGATAGATAGCTCCTCTACCACTGTAAAAACAAGCTCATCTTCTCCATTCAGCTCCACAGGCTGCTGCAAAGTCACTGTGGTGGTCAGTATATCCCGGTCAAAACATTTACCTTTCAAAGCTGAACGGAAACTATGTACCTCAATAGCACCAGATTGGTTCTCGGTGTTACTGCCAACTAGAAATGTGCTTCCTACCAAGTTGTGCTCAGGTTTGCTAGCCATCTGCTTACTCATCCCCACAGGAGGAGTCCGGACTGCACTGCTATTGTCCAGTTCTGAACATGGTTCTTTGGATCTGAGGGCATGATCTTTCTGTTGTGGAGGAGGGGGTGCAGGGCTTGGTAAAGGTCTCTTCACATACGAGGTCTTTTCTTTCACTACACGTTCAACTGTGGCCTTACTCTGCTCTTGACTCCTTGCAGGGTTATATTTTGAGGATTTCGGTGAATCTGTGATTGTCTCTCTCTCGCCATCCGAGCCCGAGCCCAGTTTTTTGCCTTCAGCTTTGGTTTGCTGTTTGGATTGTTCCACTTTGAAGTGAGGGGTACTCTTTTCATGACAGCTGCCACCCTTTTGCACAGCAGCCTGGAAATGAAGATTATGTCCTTTTTTTGGAGAGACAGTTTCCTGTGGAACACATTTTTTATACCCTACAGATGGAGAAGATGGTTTTTCATTTACCAATTTAGACTGCACATTTTCGACCACTGTCACTGGACCACAATTTGATTCAGCAGGTGTTTCTCCACAAGCAAACTTGATAGGTTCCTCACTTCCATCAATAAATTCTAACCTTTCCTGCAATTCAGCAAACGTGTTGCACTTAAAATGGTCCTTGTCGGAACTTCTAACAATAGCAAAGTTGTCTTTGCTTCTCTTTTTGTTAAGGGAAGGAATTATGGGAACAAACTCTGGAGGTCCTTCATTATCTGTTAGTTCCCTGTCGGACAAAGCTGCACCATTGGGACCAACATAAATGACAGTATCACAAGATTGTTCACTGCTGGAGGAATAATCGGGATCACTAGAAATAGTCAGTACAGGAAGATCAGGGTCAAGTGCTACAGTCCTTGGGTGAAATGGTCTCAGGTGAGGTGGTCTTCGTACATGGCCTTCTTCACATGAACTTTCTCCTCCAGATGAGCTGGATGCATACTATTATAATAAAGAAAACTTGTATTAATATTAAATGTATTTATAAGGAGAGGAAATCTTAGGGTTGTTCTAATTCTCTGCTCTGCTTTCACCATTGATCACAATTGTGTCTGGTAGAAACATTTACAGTATGAAATTAAACAAAATGTGTCACCACAGACAAGTTTCATAACATTAAAATATTATGTTGCCTTTCAATCTTAGTATCTTACATTCTTGCTTCATTGTTTTTTGATTCAAACAAATTGAACCTTTTCTAATAACCCCACGTAAAAAAATCAAAGGAATTTTTGCAGTAAGCCCATATAAAAAAAATCAAAGGAATATGCATATATATATGCATGTGTATATGTGCATGTGCATAAAATGAAAACACAAATGTTCCAGGACTAATAACTAAGTGGAATAATAGCAGCTTTGGGCCAACATGTTTGTCAGTTTCTCTACCAAGCTTTGATGCATTTTGTATTAGTTCTCATTGTTTTTAAGTCCCACATTCCCCAACCAAGGGGTTCAGAGAATTCATTTTCAATTAAATTAATTGCAGCTTGCTTGTACACCAACCTTGGATTTCTTCTTTCTCATTCGATGGATTCGTGATGCAAGCTGAATTGTCATGAGAGTTTCTGCATAATTTGCTGGGGAGTCAGATATATGAGCAATCATAGTTGTTCTACAGTTGATGTTCCCAAATGATTCTCTCAGCAACATAGTCAACTTGTTGTCCCTATGTAATAAATGATACTAAGATTGTTTAAAACAATTCTAGTTCTTTTTGCAGATGTTTCTAAAACACCAAGTATTATATTTTCATTTTTATGGTGTGCATCTATATATGCTATAAGTAGATCTGAGATTTACATATTGACAGATCATGTATGACAAGTCTAAGTATATATACACAGAGAAACCACATTATTTCCTCTATCAGCATATTTTAGACGTGTAAGTCCTTTGTTAATTTGAGCAAGTCCAGTAATTCACTTTAAAAGCAGTTCACCATGATACTTAGTACTATCCAGACAGCTTACAAGTACGACTTTATCTCCTTAGAACTCTGGCGTTTTGAATGCACAATCACCATCGGTACTTAACCGACGTGATCTACCTTGTAATGATAAATAAAATAACTATGACTAAACAAAGACAGTCAAGAATACCCTAATAAATATATTAGGCATCAAGGATATTTTAAGCCCTGTCCCACCTAATTCCTTCTCTGCCACTTTAAAAGCAACTAGAACTTGTTCATTCTGACTCTTCCTGTCCTCCTACTCTGCAAAGAGGGAGCCCATACACCAGAGGTGGGCAAATTCCAGCCTGCGGGCTGGATTCAGGCCACAGGGTTAGTCCCTGGTGGACCCCCGCCTCCATGTTTACCTGCACCTCGACAGGTATCAGAGGATCACAGCTCAATGTGAGCGGCGGCTCACTGTGCCAGTCTGCGATGCTTCCCGCTGCTTGCATTGGATGCGAATGGCAATTCATGGCCAACCAGAGCTGCGATCTGGAGGCACAGATAAACGTAGCGGTGGCAGCCCGCCAGGGACTAACTGTGCTGGCTGTCAGTTTTTTTTATTGCCCCTGCCGTACACCAAATCCACAACTGGAAGTATGGAGAAGAAAAAGTTCTGCAAAGCTTCCCCTTAGTGACAATAGAGACGCCCACTGGATATTATGCCTGGTGAAGCAGCCCACTAGACATTCCATTATTCAATGGGAGAAGAGAGATGCCCTGAATGCCCATCTACTTGAAAAGTCTGATAACCTGAACACTCATACACAGCCTGATCCATAGACACAGATGTGGATATAAGCTCACATATATCATAACATACACACCTTTCTGTGGGGCTATCACTATATCACAATGTTCATAACTGAAATGTTAATGTAATTCTGACATTTACTACGGCTTATGTGCCAATTTAGGGCCAGATCCTGACTCACATTCTGCCCACTGTGCTTTAGCAGCACAAATCAGGTGGCTGCCTGAGGATTTCCCCTGGGAAAGGGGGAATCACCAGATGGCATATGGCCAACAGTCTTCAGCCATAGCCAGTGCAGCTGAGGTGTCATTATTCTCTACCAAAGTTGCCAGAAAAGCTACTTAGGAACGGAATGCAACTGGCACAACTTAGAACACTCAGGGCTGCTATAAGTTGCTCCTCAGAACTGGCTTGGCACTTGTTGGCCTGTGTCTGGGAACCATCTTTACATCTCTGCTCACTGAGCTGAGGTAAGTAGCAGAGGGCTGGTCCTGAGGATTTGGCCATTCACTATTCTCATCCATTCACTCAGCTGGCAACTGGCCTAAGGAAAACACCTGCTTTCACCTAATACAACATAAAAGAACACCTGCTTCATATTCCGCACTGGATAAATGTGATATGACATGAGAAATAAATGAGGCACCCACAACTCCTCTTAGTAAACAGCAATTAAACTCCAGGGCTGTGTCTACATTGGGACCCTTTTCTGGAAAAGGGATGGCGGGGGATTTAAATATCCCCCGCGGCATTTGCATGAACATGGCTGCCGCTTTTTTCCGGCTCGGGGCTTTGCCGGAACAAAGCGCCAGTCTAGACAGGATCTTTCAGAAAATAAAGCCTTTTCCGGAAGATCCCTTATTCCTCTTAAAATCAGACTGGCGCTTTTCTCCGGCAAAGCCCCGAGCCGGAAAAAAGCGGCAGCCATGTTCATGCAAATGCCGCGGGGGATATTTAAATCCCCCGCGGCATTTGCAATTCTGACTTGTCTCATTAGCATCCCTTTTCTGGATAAGGGTGCCAATATAGACACAGCCCAGGACTAAAGGCCAAATTCTATCAGTGATGACTGTGGCAGGGATGTCCTCTTGAGACTGGGCGCCCTACAGATATGTACTAAACTTAATGCATTCCCTTGCCATGATAGTAACAGACACACTCTATAAATCCCACATCGAGCTCACATCCATCAAGTTACCATTCCCTTTTCCACACACGAACGGAATATGGTCTTAAATGTTTTTAAATGCAGTTTTTATTGGACACATGAATTTGTGCAACCTGCTGAATGGACACTTTATTTATATGCCTACTGATACAATCCTCACCATTGTTACATGCACAGTAAAGCAGTCTGATGCTTCTTTAAATTTCAACAAGACTTCTTCATTTGGAAAAAGGACAAAAAGTTCCCTGGTTTTCAACCAGCTGGCCAAATTTTTCAAAGTTTCAACATTTCAGTGAAAGAAAAAACCACTTATTTTACTTTTTTCGAAGTGGACGCACACACCTTTAACCCAACTTAGGTATATGCCACAATGCATATGATTTTCATATGATTTTCAGACCACTATGCAGATCAATAACACATTATGGGACGCATATTATATGAACACAAGTGTCATTATAAACTACACTGGAGACCAGGTAAACATGGCTACACACATCACTGGAAAAATTTCCATTGACATGAGAGCAATAGATTAGCAAGCCCTTGATATACTTTATTTGCAAGATAAAACTAGAGGTATTTAAGGCAACGTGCATGGTAATTTACTTACTTGTATGGCACATGTTTAGCACCATTAATTAAGGCTAAAATTACATTGCCCAGGGCAGACAGAGATAGGCACAGAGAACTTCCCCCATCTCGGCTCTTGCTCAGCACTTTTTCACAGCTTCCTAGATCAATGAGATGCAGACGGCTCCGTCCTCCGGACACTAAAAGGACAACAACGTTTATACACACATTCACCCAAGCAAGTGGACCAGATTAGCTATTCAGAATTTATTCAAATGACAGAAATAATGAATGCAGCATGGGGTAATGCCTGAATTAAATATTAATGGTAGACTACATATGAATAGCACAAAAGATGATATTAGCCACATCTACCACAGTTAGTGGCATTTCTCCACTGCTTCTTGGTGTTGGGGGAGGGGGGATTCATATACTGCATATTATTTATCATCTAAATTAAAAAATATTAATTTAAAAATAGAGTGTGGAGTGTGTGATCTTACTTCCTCCTTTACCACTCTTCTCCATGCGATACTGGTAAATATGAAGAGTGAAGAGCATATGCGAATTCCTCCTGTCTTCTTCATCACACTCAGGTTTGCTGGTACTTCTGGCAGCAATTGCAGCATCAAGGAAAAATGCAGCTCTCTCGGCAGTTGGGGCCCTAAGCTCACTTTGGTTTTGAAGCTTGAATATAAACAAGAAAATGACTAATTAAAGCAGGGGTGAATGTTTTTTGCTGATCAGGCTAAGTCTCTAGGGCAATAAGAGAAACAAATATGTACACCATGGGAGTGGGGATTATATATTAAAGACAATAAAAAAATTAACATCTTAAAAATTTTCATCATCATTGTCAGATAAAAGGAAATAAAAAGCAGAGGAAAAAAAGTCAGGCTCAAAAGCCGACTTTGTGATATCCATCATACCTGGGTTCCACATATCGGATCCTCTCTCAAATAAACCCCTGGAGACTGACCATCCTGAAGGCTGCCAGTGGCTACTTCAGCTAACAAATCCTTAAGGTTTTCATCTTTGCCACTGATCTCCACAGCAGATACTCTAATAGAGAAACGAGTCCCAGTTTTTTCTTTGCGTTCATTGATTAACTTGAAGAGCCAAGAAATTGCACAGGGGATAATACCAAGGCTTTGTGTGGAGTTATCTTTGCCAATCATGGTATAAGATTTACCTATAGAGGAAAAAAATATATAAATTTATCTTTCGCATATAAAACAGTTTCTTCTTATGCAGCTGCCAATTTACATTATATGCCATGTCCTGTATAGCTAGCTAGAGACAACAAATGCACAAATGGTTTGTATGTATTTAATTATTAATCAGTATTTATTCAATTAATTTTGCCATTTTTGTAACTCAAACCCAAAGCAAATTAATTTTTAAAAGAATCTCTGATCTTTTCATTTTTATCACAACATGCTTATAAAAGCTTGTTCATAGATAAGATAATCTGATGTTACATTTTACCTTTTCAAATTAAAACTTAAGATCTCAGTGTAGAAATAAACCACCATAAGTTTGCAAAGCTAATTAAAAAGAAATTCTAATCTATTCGTACTCCAGATTTATTGTTCCAGAAGCTGACAGTATGTAATTACCAGGCTGACATAGTAATTAACTGTAACGAATTTGGGAGCTCACCAAGCTTGACATGACCATAGCAAAATATGCAACCATCTGCACCATTCACAACAGACTGGATTACTTCTGCTACTGTTCCAGAGCATACCTCTGCCTGAAAGAAAAATTGGAGATGAATAAGTTACACAATACACTCTTTACTTCTCGCCTACATGAAAAGAATTGTATAATATTTCTGAGGCATAATATTTCTGCCTATTTTTATGGCATTTTTCCTACTATTTTAGTAACTATGTTCCATTTTTTTAAAATAAAAGCTGCTGTAACAGCCTAAAATAGTTTCCAATTCTATTATACCAATTCCCTTGAAATATCGATTCTATGACTAATGTAGCAATTGAACACTATCCAACCAAGCTTGCTGCTGGTATAATAGCTTAGCCAAAGGTTTTCAGTGATAGTAACAGCTTCAGTGAAATGAAGCTAGCCAAAGAGTGCTTGTGGAAATTAAAAAGTCATTCATACTGGAGAAAATGCATTGAAGAACCCTGAATAAGAATTTCTAAGTATCTGCTTTTCATTTACTATAGAAACAATATAATTGGTAAAGGGAATTCAATAAATTCTCCAAGTATACTAAAAATAGTTTATCAGCATATATAAGGGTTTGAAATGTATACTAGGATTTATTTAATATAGCAATTGATGGTGTAAACATATTAGGGTTGTGATGATACAGGAAGAAGTTTGATTCTAGCCATCTTGAAATAGTGGAGAGATGCCACTTCAGAGGCCCTCCACAAGAGCGTTGAAGAGTGTGGCCCAGAGATCGCAGAGAAATCCTATCACGGCTGAAGACAAGGAAGTTTTGCAGTTGACATCAATTGGACCAAAATTTTACCTCATCTCCTTTTCCTACTGCATGTGCAGCACCCAAAGCAACAGCAGCTGCTGCGCATAACCATCTGCACAGATTATTGCAACTTTCCGTACGAATAGACTATACTGGTCATTAGGGTGGCTCAAAGCCTAAGTATTGCTGCACTTGCAGTTGCCCTGGGGTTCTGAGTGAATTGTTATGCCATTTTCTTTGCGCTTGCCAGACTTTAAGACTGCAATATGTCTGTTCATGTATCCAATATTGGAGACAAAAAGCATAAACAATGTTTTTAACCAAAATTTGTCTTGTTTATTCAAGTTAAATGACACTCTCAATGGGAATTATTTAGATTTTCAGAAAATTCAATTTTCTGATCGAAAAATGCTCTCTGTCCATTTCAAGTCTTTTGTTTTACAGCTTCTATCATTATTTTTTTTTTCTGCTCCTATTGGGCGGTCTTAACTACACAACTTCACCAACCCTATCTATTGGCCTTCTGTGCCTGTTCAATTTCAGCTCTTATTGCCTATGAGCACACCCCTTCCAGCATCTGGAGAAGGGAATGCATGACCAACAAAAGAGTGAAACTGCCTATTCAGGGAGTGATGTCAAACGTGCAATGTAAAACTGAAAAGGGAGAGAAAAATAAAATCTTCCCTGCTCTCTTTCAATTATAATAATCTTATGGGTTTAGTTGTAACCATTGTCCCAACTCAGCAAAGTACTATACTTTAGGCATATGTTTAAATCTATCCCTGATAGCAAAATACTGAGGTCAATAGGGTTGTACTCCCAATCCCACGGATTTAAAAGGTTTTATGACATTCAGTTAAAAATGTAAATTTCAAGTTGACTGGGCCTTTAAGCAGCACTAAAAATACATAGAAAGTATTCATTCAGCAAATTTATCTCCATGGGTATGGTTTCTTAATGTCACTCTGGGCTAATCTGAAACAGTGAGAGTTTACCCACTATTAATTAGCATGTTTCCCCAGAAATTTTACTAACTCATTCAAGCAAAGGTCACCAGAAGCAATAAGGATCTCTTACATGAATTAAAGTGGTATGCCCACAGGAAGAGCTGTTAGAGTTCTATGTTTATCTCTAGTACCTGAGAAGCATCCTGAGGGAATACTGCATCAAAGGCAAACATCTTTGGGACAGCAACAGTTCCTCTCCTGTGACCTAAACTGGATGGTCCACTTGCAGACGGATCATAAAGAGTGATTTGCTTTTTTCGTGGATCCACTTTTAGAAAAGACATGGATTCGGATGTGTCATGTGGTCCTTGAGAGGGACAAATTCTCACCATCACCTTCACCTGCAAGTAGTTACAAGGAAATGGATAACTTTAGTTCCTACTTACAGCTAACAAAAATAACTTGCAGAACTATTTTCTGTACAATTTTTACAGTTCGACTCAGAATGACTTCTCCATATACTTACAGCTAGATTGTCAGCACTGGCTTCCACTCTTGTGCCTACAATTAATTCATTTTAAAAGGTACATTTTTACTTTAACTTTTAAATCTCTGTGCCTGATTTGCAGGTACAATCAATGCTCAATAAAAATTTGTACCCACAGAAAAGGAGGAATGTAGCAGGTTCTTATTTACAAAAAGATCTTATGTTCACAAATCGTGTGACCTAACAGATCCTTCCTGAGTAGCTATTTGAATAAACCAAGAATGTTATATGAAAAAAGCCAGGGAGTTCTCACTTTCAATCCTCCTAACCTGTGACATATTTTAAGTCCAGTTCCTCCCTTACAAAAGCGCTGTTGCTGTAATCCATATGGTCAGATGCCTTTCAGAGCTGTAAGTCATTGCTAGGGTCCTTCGTTGGCTGCCAGAAGGGTTATTGTCCCAGCACAACTAGGACCACTTTTGGGCCACTTATAAGGCATCAAAGGAAGGAAGGGAAAAGAAAACAAAAATTAAAGCTCCAAACCTTGAAATCAACCCACTAAAAAGGTTATAGACTTTAAACATTTGGTTCCTACATGCAATGTTCTAAGGTTGGAGTGTATTTTTAGACAAGACAACTCAGATACTTAGTCTCTTTTGAAAATTGCAGTTAAATGCCCAAAACCCATTGAAAGCCTTTTAAACTCTACGATAAACCCAGTCTTTGTATGAACCACCAGGAACTCAACGTAATGCTGACCTGCACCAGTCCAAAGTGGATGTGAAACTCTACCATTCTGCTCTGATGGCCTTCTACTTGCACTTATAACCTGCTGCTGATGTAATTCCAATAACACACCAGTACAGTTTTGGATGGTGGGTGAGGCTAAAAAGGCACGTTTGTGGAACTATGGATATTCCTAACCTTCAACAATTGGTTGTTGACTTTACCCAGAGACGTGCATTCTCAGGCTTCCCAACATTAGTTTATTACACCTACAGTGTTAATATTGCTGTAAATAGACAATTCGAATTTAACAGTAAAAAAAAGACAAAGAACCTATCTTAAGTGTTCGCTGTTATTACATTTGTTCTGAGTAAATAGCAGTTATCCCCAGCCCTTTAGCCTTTCACTGAAAGAAATAACTGCCAAAAAGAAAATGAATTGCCATTCAAAGATTAGTTCAACATGGCCTGCCAATAGGGGGGACAAAAGGAGCAATTACCCCAGGGACTGATGATTCAAAAAGGGCTCGGACTGCTGGAACCCCAGGCAATTGGAACACCACTGTGGCACGCTCCAGGCAGCTGTGAGGTCTGGCTACCCCCACCAGGAGCATGGAGCAGGTCCCCCCCACACCTTGCCGAAGGAGGCTGTTGACCCCATTGATTTGAACTGATGCTGAAATATCAAAGGTCAAATTATGCCTTTAAGACACATTTGTACGGAGGGCAGTATAGTACTTCAGTACAGCCTGCAACTTAGCAAGGCACGCAAGCAGTCCAATATACACAGAGAACCGCACAGTTTATGCCAGTGTTTAGGATCACCATGCAAGGACAGGAGGGAAGAGGGATATAGCCCTGCCCCTTGTGAGGTGTGGACATGTAGCCTAAAACCATGGGATAAATG